AATGGAGGAATTGCTGCATATGCATAGACTGCGTCTGTTGAATGCAGAGCATACAAGTACCCATGAAAGTCCTGCAAAACTTTTCAAATCTCGAATTCTCAGAAAGCATCTGATGTCCGCGACTTCTAATGTACATTATTACAAAGATAATAACTATAGACCTTCTGTTGGAATCATACTACAAAAAATGGGAAATCGAGTGGTGAAGATAGTAGACATCAAAGATCACTCAGTTCATAACAGACACCTGGACAAAGTGACAATAAATGAAGTAGGTCGTTCCAAATATAATGTCAATGATTCCGCTACTAATCCTGATTTTGTAGATAATTCAGGAATAAGTCCAGATAATACTGATGAAAATAATATCACAGAATCAGTTAGGTCGAAGCTACTTGCAAGCAAACCGAGACATCGTTATAAATACGCAAGGAGATATTCGAGGTGTGGCGGATGTGGTGATTGACAATTTCTATCTCTGTATTGTTTAAAATACTTACTGTTGACTGTTGATATGTTCCTTATATGAATGGCATAATAATTCCGCTAAATACAAATTCCTGAATTCCGCCCTCTCTGTGTTTTGGTTGGATTCTTGTAATTCGGTCATCTCGAAATACTAATACTACAATTACAATAAATTACTACATATACCTAAATAATAGTCAATGAATTAGTGTTATTAACAACATTAATGTCGTTTAAATAACATCGAATCCATAATAATAATACTATCAATGGATTACATTTCAGTTGCATGTATTTATATTCTACACTGAAGGCCAGCCGGGACAGTAGTATTAGTTGGACCTGTTTCTTCTGTACACAGAGTACCGGTTGTTTTAGGTGAATTGCAGTAGCCACTGCTGTTTACAGCATGACATACTTGGATGTTTTTGACAAATTATCTGGTACCCGGTAGATGATAGGGAAGGATTCTTCAATGCTGGCTGGCTTTGTGGCCGGTTTGATCCAGATAGTATAATAACGAATCCTTTTCGATCATCATCCATCTGGTAGCAAATAAATTGCCAAAAACATCCAGGTACCGCATGCTTCAAACAGCAGAAGTTATTGCAATTTGCGTAAAAAAAACCAGTGCTTTGTGTGCAAAAGGAACAAGTCCAGCCAGGCAATTCTAATGTCCTGGCCGGCCTTCAGTAGAGACTATAAATTCTTTCTTAATTCTTCTCATATTCAGTGTATGGTTATGTTGATTCTATCGAACTGTAATCCCTTGATATTATAATTATTGATTCGATGCTATTTAAATAAAGTGGTGTCAGGAGATGCCACAGCTAGTTCACGAGGATTAGCTGGTGTAGGGATAGCTTTGAGTACTAGGGCAGAAAAGACATTGCTTGACTGGATCCCGGTAGATAGCCGAATGTGTGCTGTCCGTCTGAACGGATCAGTAAAATGGAGAAAGGACTGCACTACTCGCCGATGCCTTTTCGTAATCTCCGCCTACGCCCCCACTGACTGCAGTTCAGATGAAACGAAGGATGAGTTCTACCAAAAGCTGTCTAGTTTGGTGCGAAAGGCTAAACGCTCAGACATAGTCGTTCTAGCTGGTGACTTTAACGCTCAAGTAGGGAAATTGTGTCAATCTGAGAAGGATGTCGGTGGCACCTATGGAGTTCCGTGCCAGCGAACCGACAACGGTGACCGTCTCCTACAGTTCTGCTCTGATAATCATTTGTTTCTTGTAAGCACTAACTTCAAACACAAGGAGAGACACTGTTTGACTTGGAGACCCCCTTCATCAAACCAACGCTGGACACAAATAGACCACATAGCAATAAGCTATCGTTGGCGTGGGTCGGTAGGAGATTGTCGCTCCTTCTGGAACACGTGCGTAGATACCGACCATGCACTGGTCCGCGCTCGGGTGTGCTTACGACTGAACGGACGTAGGAAACAGCTGGCGGTAAAACCATCACGTCCCCAGCTCGATCAGGAAACTAAATCCGTATTTGAGGAAGAACTAGCTAAACACATATCTGTGTTCGACAGCTGTGCTCACCCTGAAGAAGCTTGGAAAAATATCCAGGCAGCCATAGATACAGCTGTAAAAGCTGTGAATAAGGTAAACCCAAAGGTGAGTAAAAACCACTGGATCTCCACCGCCTCATCCGAACTGATAGATGCTAGAAGACTTATTCCGGCGAGCTCCGAATTCAATGAGGAGCGAAAGCTGCACAAGAGGAAACTTACGAAAAGTCTCCGCAAGGACCGTGAACAGTGGTGGGCGACAAAAGCCAAAGAGATGGAGAAAGCTTTGAGGATAGGCAACACCAGGCAACTCTTTGGACTCATCAGGGAAACGGGTGGGAGAAGACAAATCATCAGTGAGACAATCTCGGAAAAAAATGGCACTATAATTAGCTCCCAGGATAGACGACTGGATCGTTGGAAAGAGCATTATGAGGAGCAGTTTAATTTGCCCACAGCCACGCTCAACCTTCCGAGCATCCAACACCTCCCTGAATGGGATATAGACACAGGTCCTCCGTCACTAACTGAGGTTACTAAAGCTGTCACCAATCTGAAACTAGGCAAAGCAGCGGGACCTGATGGAATGACTCCAGAGGTATTTAAGTACGGTGGAGACAGCTTACTGTCCGGATTAACTGAGGTACTAGGCAGCGTCTGGGAATCAGAAGAAGTCCCATCGGGTTGGTGTAAGTCACTGATTATCCCCATATACAAGAAGGGAGACAAGTCTTCCTGTGATAATCACAGAGGGATTAGCTTGACTAATATAGTATCTAAAGTCTTAGGCTCAATAATCATGCGTAGACTGAGTGGTGCTCGGGAAGCACAAACACGAGAGAGCCAGGCAGGCTTTAGACCAGGAAGAGGGTGTATTGATCATATCTTCACCCTCCGACAGATTCTAGAACATAGGCATTCCTACCGGCGTCCAACAGTCATTATATTTCTTGACCTAAAGGCAGCATTCGACTCTGTCGATCGGGAAGTTCTCTGGAGATGCTTGGCTGTAAAGGGAATTCCGAGAAAATATATTGCACTGATTAAGGCACTCTACTCGTACTCATACAGCCAGGTGAGGGCTTACGGCGAGCTGTCATCTGAACTGATGACGACCAGTGGTGTCCGTCAAGGATGCCCATTATCTCCTTTTCTATTCAACTTCATCATAGATGTGTTAATGGACTTAACCCTAGGTGACTTCAGCGACTCAGGGATTGACTTGCTACCTGGGAATAATCTCGTTGACTTGGAATATGCAGACGATATAGTCCTTCTAGGCGAAGACGCTGAAAAAATGCAGAGTCTTCTAAACACCTTGAGCCGCAATCTACGAATGTTTGGCATGCGATTCGCTCCCGCCAAATGCAAGATGATGTTACAGGACTGGACTACATCGACGCCTAGTTTAAAAATAGGAAGTGAAGTGGTAGAGCACGTTGACCGCTTCACTTATTTGGGAAGTACCATCAGCCCCAACGGGTTGATCTCTGACGAAATCTCAGCACGAATACAAGGGGCTCGTTTCGCATTTGTTAGTTTACGCCGACTCTGGCGTAGACGAGATGTTCGACTATCGACCAAAGGGCGGGTGTACTGCTCATCAGTCCGCTCCGTCCTCCTTTATGGTTGTGAGACCTGGCCACTGAGAGTGGAAGACATGAAAAGACTAGCTGTCTTTGATCATAGGTGCCTGCGTTCTATTTCCCGTGTAAAGTGGCATAATAAGGTGAGCAACATGGAGGTTAGGCGTAGAGTTCTAGGTAAACAGGGGAAATCAATCGACGAAGTCGTGAAGCTACAAAGACTGAGATGGTTAGGACATGTGTTACGTATGCCAAGCCATCGCCTCCCTCGACGAGCAATGTTAGCGGATATAGGGTCAGGCTGGAAAAAAGCTAGCGGCGGTCAAACAAAAACTTGGCATCAGTCAATGAAATCCACAACAGTTGGTCTAAGCCACGTAGGAAGGTGTAGACTTCCAGGCTGGGGTCCTCGGGACGGTAAAAATCTATGGTTGGAAACAATTGGTGACATGGCTCAAAATCGTTCTCAGTGGCGCAGATGCATCCACTCCCTGTGACTTATGATCTCCAATGAAACTGTTTTGTTTTTCTTTATTACTCCTTTGTCTCACACCTCTGCTCACTGTTTCTATTATGCTTTTCTTGTACTTTCTTCTCTTGCTTCGCGTGCTACACGGAATGTGGCGACTTGAACTTCCGCACATTTGTGCAAAGTTCTATGTCGAAAACAGACAGACAGACAGATTTAAATAAAGTTAATGATGTTAATAATACTAATTCATTCACTAATATGAATATATAACTGTAGAACCTGATGATGAAATTATCTAGAAGAATATTCTTTGTTCAGTAACCATTCTTTTGGAAGCATTTTAATGAACATTTTTTACTCAGTTACAAGTTTTTTTTCGTTTTGTGTGTATCTATGCGTAAAAATTTGATAAAGAAGGGGAAATATTCATACGTGACAATAATATTGACTTAGATAATTATGTATTAAAGATTGTGATGAGAAATCTGAGTGAATAAAAGAAAGTCACCCTAAAGGTGAATTCTTCTTTCCTACAACTCTTCGCTTTTCAAGTGGATCATTGGGCTTCGCGCGTGAGCTTTTGGTGGGAGGGGAGGCTGGTATCCTCACATTCAACATTCCCACTTTTTCAGAAATCATCATCGAACACAGCAGCATAGAATAGTGGGTAAACTCTGTAGCTCAACTTCATCAACTTTTGAAAGGCCTTCAACAGAGTTGACCACAAAGTAACTTCGAAATTGCTTCAACACTGTAGAGTCTTCCAAACCTTTATCAACCTTATTCTAACTTTAAGTTACTCGTGTTCCTTTGTTGATGGCTAACACTAGAATACAGATGCACTCAGTTGAAGAGTTTAAAATACAAAATCATTAATAAACAGAGATAGATAGAGGGAGCGAATAGGATATAGTTTTCTTTTAAATTAAAAATAACTCTTCACTTACTTTTTTCATGCCTTCATTCGACATTTCATCTTGATTATAAACATAATTTAATAAATCAAGGAAGGTATTATTTGACTTATTAGATTTCTCATCTTTTATCCAATTTAAACTACGTTTCACTGAAGCATGCCAACCAGCTAACATAACATCTCTATCATTTGAATTAATTTGTGGACGAAACACTGAATTCTCTTGATCCTGTTTATTTGTGTATTGACGAATTTTTAACAATCCGGATGGATCAACATGCAGAGCTAAAGCGACCATAACAGCTACACCTAATGCCGTCATTATATCAGAATGATTATGACGCTGAACATTCATATCTGTGTAAAGCAGTTTAAGAAAAAGAAAGTAACAATAGTAAATAATAGTCTAGTTAAGTAAACAGCATTAGAATAATTCATAATATACAATCTACTCACTTCCTTCAGTATATCTAGAGATGAGCTGTGTTCAAAGTATCTTAAAAATCAATATTTTCATTTAGATTTCACCACAGACATACCTCAATCAGGCGACTTTTGAAAACCAGGGAGTAGTAGACAGCTGTTTCCTCTTAACTTGGGACTCCTCATCAGTTTGCACTCACAAGCTTACTGTGAAGAGTTCGAAACAAGGACAAAACAGGGCTCCAGTAGTTTCGGTTTTCTAAATTGAACTTGATCAAATTCTTACAGGACAACATTTGAATATCAAATTCTTCAATAAATATTTTTCAAGACTAAAGTAGTTTAGTTGATAAGTAGGTGATACATGAGCAAAGTACTGGTAACTCAAGTGATATTGAGTGGTAGTATAATCCACTCGGGAGAATGGCAAGATGATGTCCTGGAGATTGTTCACTGAAACTGAATCACATTCCATGGTTTCATCTTAGCTTCAGTGATAAGCTGGCTGACTGAATCATTAACCGACTGGTTGAAAGAAGGGTGTGGAACTTTGTAGAGAAGAATGTCAACTCAGACTGCTGAACACAGAAAATAGTACAGGTGTAGAATGAAAATAAAATTGTTAAATGTGTTTGAGGAGAGGAACAGTTCACTGAAAATTGGTGGTGATTCTCAGAATCAAAATGATAGTATGCAGTATATATATATATATATATATATATATATATATATATTGGTGATTGACAATTTCTATCTCTGTATTGTTTAAATACTCACTGTTGATTGTTAATATGTTTCTTATATGAATGGCATAATAATTCCGCTAAATACAAATTTCTGAATTCCGCCCTCTCTGTGTTTTGTTTGGATTCGTGTAATTCGGTCATCTCGAAATACTAATACTACGATTACAAAATATTACAACATTTTGGCGTCGCGATGGAACTAAATAACCTTGGAAAATTTCCTATAAATGGTTCACCGCGAGAGATTGCTGATTATCTTGAATGCTTCGATGCATGGTGCATTTCAAAGAACTTTCGGGATGACAAAATTCCAGCACATTTCATCACTGCTATTGGGCTAGATGCATATAGCCTAGTGAAGAATCTGTCATTTCCAGATAAACTTATTTCTCTGTCATATGACAAGATCCGTGAACTTCTGATACATCACTTTCATGTAACTACTTTTGAGACCAGAGAGAGGGCTCAATTCAATAAACTGGTTCGTGCTCACAACCAGAGAATTAGAGACTTTATTCTTCAACTCCAAATACAAGCTTCAAAGTGTAACTTTGGAGATCAGATGCATACTCAACTACGTGATCGTCTAATTGCTGGAATCAATATTCCTAAATTAGAGAAAGAGTTAATTCAGATTCCTTCTTGTACCTTTCAAACTGCTAAAGATTTATGTATTACATATGAAGATGTCAACAGTGAATACTCTGCTCCCACTACGTCAGTATCTGATGTCATGTTGTCCAAAGTCCAAAATACAAGTGTTCATGGAAAGCAATCCAAACTGTCGTTCACAGGTAATAAAATGCAGCGAGAGATCAAAAACATTAAACCGTGTTTATCCTGTGGAAAGTTACATCTACGAAGCACTTGCCGTTTTCGGGGTGCTAAGTGTCACAAATGTGGTAAAGTTGGACACATCAAGACTGTTTGCAGAAGTTCGAATACTTATGTTGCTCAACATTCTTATAATTTTCCCAATCTGTCTAGTAAAATGGAGTCAATGTGTCTTTCAACTTTTCTCAATACTCAATCTCATCCAATGAAAACCTCCACTACAAGTTCAGCAACTCAAGTGTCAACTGTTTTCAAAAATGTGGTAGCCGAGTTACAATGTGAACTGTCGAAAACACGAAAAAACCTGAATGAGATGAGAGAGAAACTGATTAAAATTGAGGAATTGCTGCATATGCGTAGACTGCGTCTGTTGAATGCAGAGCATACAAGTACCCATGAAAGTCCTGCAAAACTTTTCAAATCTCGAATTCTCAGAAAGCATCTGATGTCCGCGACTTCTAATGTACATTATTACAAAGATAATAACTATAGACCTTCTGTTGGAATCATACTACAAAAAATGGGAAATCGAGTGGTGAAGATAGTAGACATCAAAGATCACTCAGTTCATAACGGACACCTGGACAAAGTGACAATAAATGAAGTAGGTCGTTCCAAATATAATGTCAATGATTCCGCTACTAATCCTGATTTTGTAGATAATTCAGGAATAAGTCCAGATAATACCGATGAAAATAATATCACAGAATCAGTTAGGTCGAAGCTACTTGCAAGCAAACCGAGACATCGTTATAAATACGCAAGGAGATATTCGAGGTGTGGCGGATGTGGTGATTGACAATTTCTATCTCTGTATTGTTTAAAATACTCACTGTTGATTGTTAATATGTTTCTTATATGAATTGCATAATAATTCCGCTAAATACAAATTTCTGAATTCCGCCCTCTCTGTGTTTTCGTTGGATTCGTGTAATTCGGTCATCTCGAAATACTAATACTACGATTACAAATAATTACAACAATATATATATATATATATATATATATATATATATATATATATATATATATAGTTGTATATTTGTAGGTTGATCTGTAGTAAGATGCTTTCCAGCTGCATTGGAGATGAGGGTTCCATCCTGAGCCGATCCGCTTCTAAGCCTCACGTAACCCGTAATAAGACCAGTGAAAAAGAGAGGTTGAGTATGCGACTAGAAACCTGACCCTGTAAAAACAACACCATTAATATTGAAACTTCCAAGCTCAATCTCGAAGCTCTATGTTCAGCTGTGAAGGCAAAAGAATGAAAAGATCTAATGGGTAAGATCTACTATTAGAAGAATAGCAAAGGTCGTGTGACAGTAAAGAAACTGAACAAGTTTCTACGATTATCCTTCAAATTTGTCAAAGTCAAATGCAAAATTTTTTCTTATGAAAGAGGCGTAAGAAAAAGCAGGAATATCCAGAAGTCCTTTGGAAGACTCTCAGACAATATCATGTACCGTCCAACTCGCTGAAATTAATCACTACACTGAATCAGTTGTCTTAAATTCTTGATGTCATAAAAATGAAAATTTGGAGTAGCATTAAGGGGTAATTGTTTGTCTTATACTTCTTGCAACTGTCTCTAGTTATGTGATGTAGTGCACAAGATTTATTCGACTTCAAGTTCCATCACTCATTATTATGATTCTTTAGGTTTATTCACAGATGTAGCAACGATTAAACTTTTATGTGAAAAAGAAATTAACCCATTCAGCTTTTTCCACACGCTGAGAAGACCGCTGAATGATGTCCAGCGTCAGGCCTTAAAGTGGAACGCGAATTAGAAATGATAAGATGAGCATGTATCCCAAAGTAGCATGCAGGAGATCGTGTGAGTAGGAGATTAAGAGGACCTTAGACCATAGAAATAAACGGACATATTCTGCCGAAACGCCATGTTCCATTCAAATCCAAGGGTATAATAAATAATACATATTTCCACATGGCCTTTGTTTTCTAAACAGATTCTGTTGCGTTTCTTGCTTAGCGAGTGAAACGTTAGTTTTCAAGCTTTGAAGTTCTAGTAGCTGTGATGTTGGTTTTAGGGAATAGAATTGCTAGACTTTCCTCTTTGTCTGGCTATCTACAAGGTAGTGGATTAAGTGGTTCAGGTTTGCGTTGACCGGAACCCATATAACGTGAATGGAATCATTCCATCACTGAATTACAGACTCTTCTTGTCAGTGACTATGCCATATTGAGAACACCGGCTGTCATCCAATTACTGTAGTTATGAAACATGGGCCAGGTTAGAGCTTTCATGCGTGGCCACCTGTGAATACTAGGCGCTTCTATCTTTAGCTTGACTGGGATAGTGGTTTCACCCAGCGTGAGATTACATACACTTCCAGCCTTGCAAATGGATAGACTGAATGTTCAGTTCTCCTGAAAACCATTTGATAATTATCAAGTCAATGGATTTATCATTATATTTTCAACACGAATACAATTACAATAAAGTTTTCCTTAGTCACAGTGAATAATTGTAAATGTTTTCTTTCAGCATGGATTTTGTCACAAACAGAAACCCTAAAAATCACTGAACACTAAATAGCTATTTCATCCAACATCAGGAATCTGCAACAATACACACCCTACAACCCCACCAGGAATCAAACCCGAAACCATTAATTTCCCTCTTGAGTCTCATCATTTCCTCTCCCATTCAAGTGAAAACTATATACAATCAATAACAAGGTATTTTCACATTCATTGATGAATCATTTCTCAAAGACAATTCAAAAGAAGTAAAACTAGATTATGAATTGTTGCAATCAACAAAGATTCCAGAATAAGTTCCGCATTGCATTTATTTTATTTTAATAATATCGCATTATGGATTGATTTATGATACAGAATTGTTAAAATTTGAGCCATACCAGACACCTATGACACCCAGGTTTGAAGTCATTCAGCCAAATACAGAGGGGAATCCGATTTGAAACAGTGAAGTTTTAAAGAAAAAAAAATCATTATCTAACCACCAGACTAGATACTGACAGCCAACAGTTTTCTATCTCTGCTTATTCTCAAAATGACAGTGTTGAGAATCTATGTGTTTTAAATTTGGTTGAGACGGATATCCAGCAATTCTTTGCTTTCAGTAGTTCCCTAATGAAATCTAACCTGGTGACAAAATCTTTTTATTCACATTAATAAAATCACAACAAATTTGGCAAAAGAATGTTTTATTTATCTGATAGTTTCCGGCAGTGGAATTCGGGTCGCACGTTTTTTTCCTGTTTAGGACTCGTCATCGGGATACACTCCTACGGAGATTCAGCTGATAATTCACTTCAGACACTAAATGCCAAAAATGAGACCCATCAATTCGACCGAGATATATATTGACGCGTATTGGGAATATTTTATTTTACTTGACTGGGTAACCAGATGGTATGAGATAAGTAAAGCAGTGTTATCTTCATTCCAGGAGTAATTATATCACTTCAAAATTAAACTTGACAATTCAGTCTTATTTGTATAAAGAAAGGGAAATGAACGCTTTAAAGCTGTCGAGTAATACCCGGATGGGAAATGATGAGCTGAACAGCCTTGGGTAACATGCAGAAGATCATATGAGGAGGGAATGAAAGCTTATCGGCAATCATTGAACCAGAAAAAGAAGATTCCAGAGAACTGGGCGAAATGGAGGTATGCTATCGAAGCCTTATGTTCCACTCGGGATCCAAAGGAGTAAAAATAATATAGAGCTATAGCTTTTCCAAAATTATACCTGGCCTATGATGTATTGCTTGATAATTTCTTACTTACGTCTACGTTATATACTCATTGACTTTTCAAACTTATGAATAAATTTGTCACCATTCTAAGGCACTAAACATTTAGGGAAATAATCAACGAATAACTTACCTAAAATATCAGCTAAACTTTGCATCAGTACATTGCTGTTGGACATTCCACCGTCAACAATAATTTCATTCGGTTTTTTTAATGTTATCAAAGGTGTTGCTGAATTACGTCGACCAGAAGTTTTAGCTAAAGTTGCCGCTGACATAACATCATATGTTTGATAAACTGAGGATCTTAGACCAGCATAAATAAGATCAGATTTACTGACATTCGATGTGATTCCACAAGCTATGCAACGTGCACTTTCTTGCCACCATGGACAAAATAAACCACTGAATGCTGGAACTAAATAGCATGGATCTGACTCCCCAGGTCTCTGTTGTTTGTGAACCATGTCAGCTAACTTTTCACATTCATCATAATCTTTGAATAAATCCAATTTCGATTTTAACCATTGCATTGTAGCTGCAGCGTATGATACAGCACCCTAGTATAGAAAATTCAATAACATTATGATTTGAAGAATTTTCTAGTAGGCAAGCAAAACTTCATCCAGTGAATAGCTTGACAGTTTGATAAAGAAACTTAATGATAACTGCGTTCAAGTTTCGAAATTCTTATTAAGATATGTGCTACTTAAAAATTGGATATAAGTAGTATATAAAACAAGATTATCATGGAAGCAATGACAATTGACATTAAAACAGCAGGAAAGCTACACCCTCTATTATGTCAAAGTGGGAAAGAATTAAAAGTAAATAAATTTGTCAAATCGTAAGACGATGGTGAAATGTAGCTTGACACATGTCTACTAATGAAAACGAATTCTCAGTGAAGATTAACTGACTGAAATTTCAGTGTACAGAACAGTAATCGGAAGTTCAACACTGGTGAGAAAAAAACATACTATGAGTCAATGGATGCCACAGGATCTGCAAACTAGATATTTGATCCATGTCGTATAATTGGATTTTTATAGGTACACGCCATCCAGTTCAATAGTAGAATGTTAACCAACCACATTTGTAGTAGAGGTTTGACTCCTGGTCGACAGATGTCCGAACCAGCTTCTTCTTGTTCACTAGCAACTAGTAAGCAAAGTGAAGAGGAAAGGTCGGATGAGAGGCTACAGAACCCCTCCCAATAAAAATAGCACTATAGCTACTGAAATTTCAAAGCTTGGTGCCCTACATTCAGCTAGGAACACAAAGAATGAATATAGTTTCACATCTTAAAATTGTAATTCACTGGTCATGTGAAGTGAGTACATAATTAACTGTAATTTCTGATCTTAACGCTTTATCTCTGTAAGAATAAATTTTTACTTCCTCAGTCAGTCTTTCGTGTATTCCCAAATAAAGAATTTTGAAGCAATTCAGTTATTTGGGAAATGCATTATTTTCCCCCACCAAAAAAGCTTCTAAATGTGCCACAAAATTTTTCATTTGGGTTCCCAGTGTTGAAATAATAGTCGGGTGACCAGTCACATATTGTCAGCTGTTGAAGTCACACTACAATAAAAAGTAAATCTAGTATTGTCTGCGTCATAATATAAAAGTTATTTATGTCCATCTCAATGTACATTTACTCTTTCATGTGCTCCTGTTGAGATGATCATATTGGATATTGTAAGCGTGTTCTTTAGAACAGCTTAGCTAAATACTACCCAGATTCTTTGGTGAAAGGAGACCATTGGATGACAATTTTTTCTACATTTACACACCTTCTTGAATCAAGCCCCGATGGGTTAAATTCAGACACTCTAAAAGTTTACGTTTTCACCACCTACATATAGCCAAAGCACCAACTGTACATGAACAAAAGCTTAAACCATGTATTCGGAAACATTTCGTTAAACCACTTGTTTACTCTGATTTTATTTTTTTTTCTGTAGGTTACAGTGATTTTAGGATTTTCTTCTTAAAGTGACATCGGTTACAGGACTACTAGACAGTTATTTCATCTTGGCTTAGGACTCTTCACAGTACTCACGCACTGGGGATTGAACCCAGGACCTTTTACTTACAAGCCGAGCTGCTGAACCATTAAGCCACTGGGACTCGATTCAATAGACTGTGAATTCCAAATTCTGCTTATTCATGTTGTAGCATGACCACTAGTGAATGCCATCGCTTGCGAGTATTTATCCTCAAACCCGACTTGCTGTACTCTACTGGTCACGACTTCTCACTAGAACCTAGGTAACTACCTACCTGAATAAGGCTAGTCACTAGTGTTTTCAGTTCAATATATCTTCGCCTTCATTATTTTTAAAATTTTTAACATCACACACATTACCCACTTTAAGTCTCTTAATACCACTTAATACACACTTATTCGTTAATCTATTATAACAATAATAATATTTACCGCCCATCGTTTAATGTATTTTCATCATTCCGCTTAACTACCTAAATGCTATTTGTTTACTTTTACTTTCTGTCAAATTTGTTTTTTGTTATTCTGTTGCGCACTATTCCTAAATATTCACGTGATTTCATACCTTGTTTATTGTGATAGAATAAACATTTTATTGTCATCAACACAACATTTCTCTCAAACGATGAAAAGTTATTTGCCTTCATTTTCCGAATGTTTATAAGATTATTTACAAGTTGAAATTAAGTAGCAATTTTAATAAATCAACGGATTCTTAGGTGGATGTCATCAAAAGCTGACATCAGCCAAAGCATTGCTAAAAACTATGCAGTGATGAACAATTTTCTACTCCTCGTTTTGAGACAGTTCATCAGTTCGAATCCATATCGTCATCAGGGATCGAATAGTGAACCTTTAGGATACAAGATTGAGGAGGATTGACTAGTCAGTCAGTGACTTATAATCCAATGATCCATGCATTGTAACGTCTGTCACTTTGCGCGTTAGCACCATGTATTCATTGATTTTTGATAGCTCTTCAGATAACACTTTGTGAAATCAACCAAATTGATACAACCCAAAACTTGAAATCCTAGAGACACTCACACAGAATTACTGACCGTTTTAGTAACACATTAGGCTAAATAGTTAAAGTTCGCCTAATTACAGATTTTTTGATTACGGCTTGATTCCCCACCGTATTTTTGCACAAGTATGGAAATTTTCAGCATGTGATGTCGCTACCCCAACTTTTGCAGGTCGATCATAGGTATCAGGTGTGCGTCGGCAGGGAATCGAACCCCGGACCATGTGCATGGTCGGCGAGAGGAGTCCTAACCACTGTGCCACCGATGCATATATATATATATATATATCAGTAGAATCTGACGCTGCGTCGATGGCTTAGTCAAACCCTATTTTACAAATATTTGAAATTAGAAACTAGGTGAAAACATCTGTCATCAAAACCGTTCAGTCCTTTCATATTTTAATCTTTTTATGACCACTAATCAGATATTTGATGGTGTGAAATATTCACATATCATGAATTAAAAGTCAATCTGAACGAAGAATATTCTTTTCAATAATTTCTCCTCTTCAGGTTCTTAGAGTTATAAAATATAATATTTGTTGTCGTTACAATAAAGGCCAGTTAGTTATGCGGCGGATACATTTGTAACTTAGATTAACAGATTAGTTATTGGGTGTCAAAATAAATAGTCATATTTGTGTAACAAACGTGCTAGGCTGAAATCGATTAGAAATATTGTAAAACGGGAGACAATAGTGGTGGTTAATGATAATGGAATTGTAGAGTGTGGGGTAGGAAAATTGACAAATCAGTTCAAGGTTATAAAAGGTGTCAGGTGAGTGGTTAGTACAAGGTGGGCTGTGTTAAACAGGAGATAGTAAGACTGCAATGAGAGGTTCATAATGAAATAACGAATATGTGAAATGAAACAGGTGGAGGCATATATTCAGAAAACAGATAATATCACTAATAATAAGTCTAGATAGTATAAATGAAAATTCGACAGTATAGACGGAATGTTTGCATGAAGGGCATAAATTGTATAATAATAATATTTGTAACAATAAGAAAAGTAAAAGAAAACAAAAAAACCAAGAGGGTTAAGGAGAAAGAGCACTCTTGGTGAGAAGAAGAATCATCAATCCAAGGTTGGCCACAGTAGGAACAGCGTCTGGAGGTGTTCTTTTTGGATACAAAGTTCCGGTTTAGTCGATCTTATTGCAACACCTTCAGCTATGTGTAGGAGACGTAAGCGAACTGTGTCTATCCTTCACTAGCCGTCCAATGTTCACCCAGCAACTCAAAAATGTCTTACGTAACCTTAGCTCTTCTTCATGCATATACCATTTCAACTGTTCCTGCGATTCAAGTTATATAGGGTGTATGATTAGGCAGGTTCGTCTACGGGTTCGAGAACACTTACCAGCTTGGTTCAGCAGGGGGGGGGGGGAATTAAGTGCATGAAAAGCTCAATCCTGTCACACCTGGTCGATACCGGACATCGCATCGATGTCAACACAGCTTTCAGAGTTATATACCAAATTCCGAAGTCGTTAACACGTACAGTTTGATCATGAGTTGATATCAGTTAGAGAACATTGGAAAACCTGCAGAGAGTGCTGGACAGCTGTTCAATCGTATTTCTGAACTCTTCACTGAAAGCACCCATTAGGCGTTCGAAACTTAGGTGTTCCGGTTACCAGGCGTGCTTGCAGGCCGTTTAACCTATCGGACTCAGTTCAATGATCCATGAATTCCCAATTCTACCTTTTCATAATATTTAGCTCAGTTGTTAGTCAGTGTTATAGACGAGTTACTGATCACTTCTCTGAATTGGTGGACGCTGCTGGTCACGACTTCTCACCCCTGTATGCAGCCAGTCGCTGGTACGCATCAGATTAATTATTAAGTGTTAGTTAGCAGGGATTTAATTGGTTATAGATACTGTTTCATTTCTATACGAAAGTCAAAATAGCAGTTGTAGTAAAGGAAAATTTGTTTTTAACGAGGTCAACAACTAGCCCGTATGTTCGTGAAGAGGTTAATAGGTTTCAAAATTATTTCCTTTCACAGAATAAAATATAAGGAACAACAAGCTGAAGCTACATAATATAAACACAAATAGAAACAAGAGACCTCTCGAAGATAAACTTGAATCTAGTCGAGGAATCTGAGTAAATCTTCCATTTCTTTCTCCCGAGAAAGGATGAAAACTCACCGAGGAGATCTATTCATAAAAAGCCTATGTGGAACGAAGAGTTTTTCAATTTTTAAAGAAAGACTGTCCTTAAAAAGATTTTGCTACTGAATTTCGAATTCAAAAGTGATACACAGGCGGAAGGTCTCAGAAAATGACTTTGGAAATAATTCATTTCAAAACATGGTTCTTTACTAGATTACGAACAACATTATTATATGGAACACTATTACCCCCAGAGTGTTGCGATTCCTCAAATCAAAGCTTATATACTAGTTCACCAATTGTTTTGAAGTTAAATGCATTGGATGTACCATGCACCTGCTCATAATTCACTCCAGTGAACACTTTCCGGTCTCGAGAAATTAAGTCTGTCATC